TTATTAACGAAGTTCTGAAAAATGTTATACTGTTTACAAACATAGACGCACAGTAACGTTTAAAATCGTTATAAGGATAACATTAAATTAGAAAGGTATATAGATAACATTATATAATATGTATATGTATTGATACCGATCTAATTATTTAATGACTAGCGTACTAATTTAAAAGTATACTAATGCTTGTAACGCTAGGATAGAGATTACACAAATAAATAAATAAATAAAATAAATGTACGAATAAATATTTTATTGCCTTTAAGTAAGTCCCTTCCGAATGCAATGCACATTTACTTTTTAATCCTCGAAGCAGTACGAAAAATCGTAAAATAATTAATCATAAAAAAGGTCAAGAGCTACAGTTGATGTTCTTGAGCGTCTTGGATGTGGTTTTTGCTGATCTTATTTATTTATTTATATTTATGCCAACAAAAATTGACTGTCGACATAGGAAAATAATATATGAATATACATATACCTTACACTTGAAAAATCTTCATTTTTCATAAATCTTTATAATCTATGAAAGAAAGAAAAATAAAATGAAATTGCATAATCAGTTTTTTTTTTTTAATTTTTCATGTAGTTTGAATTATTGCGGTTTTATTATTTCTTCACTTTTTCTCAACTGAAAAGTTTGTGTTATAAATTTTGCCCGAGCGATTTCCGATTTTACATAATCAACATAACATTCAACGATTTTCAAAATAAAGAAATAAGTTGTTCACTTCACCATGGGCGTAGCCAGGATTTAGTCCAGGGAGGGGGCAAGATTTTTTTTGGCTGATTTTTTACTATACAAAAAACACATGAAAATTATGGAAAAATAGTGAAAAATTAAATTCAAGATAATGCAAATTTGAAATTTCCAATGCAATAAAATGTAAAAAAACTTGCTAAAAAATAAGATTTGTGATCGTGGAACTACATCGACATCGAGAGTGTAACATTTAACAATTTGAAATTATGTTTTCTTACACAAAATGATAAATTTTTATATACATATACTTTAAAATTATTGAAATCAGAGAGAAAAATATGTGATTTTTCTAATGGGTACTGCTCTTAGTTTGAAAATCAATTTATAGTATCAAGTCTAGTTATTTTCTAAAAAGAATTCGTATGCTTCTCAGTTGAATAGAATTTTTTTACAAGCTAACATGGAATGGGAGCCGTATCTAGGGTCGGGGCAGTTATCAAAAGAAAGTTATGGCAGATAAAGAAATCTTAAATTATTTGGTTTCAACAGTTCAGAACTGAAACTGGATTTTCTGAACTGTTAAACCAAAACTATTTTTAAGAGATAATAATGCACAACGTTCTAAGATGAGTCGGATTAATATACATATATTGCCTCAGGTTTCGATAAAACCAGCGAACTGATGGCAGCAAAAACAACTTATTTGCCCCGTGTGTCTCGTTGCCCAAAATCAACCAAAATTGCCCGCTTTGGACCCCCCTCGCTACGGCCATGCACTTCACACATCACCTTCCAAAGAACTTTTATTTTAAATCATCGAAGTCCTATTTACAGATAAGGTGGAATGGACAGTAACAGTGCTGCCAGAAATTGAAAAGTATGTCTCCCCATTGCGACATCCGCTTGATGTCAGGGTCGTATTTCCGGTTCATATTTTTAACAACTATAGGATACTCGTATGTACGAGAATGCATCTCGTTTTAACGTTGATTCGGCTTAACTGCTTATTTTTGCAGCTTATTTACATTTGCAATTGATAATGATTCTAATCTATTTTCTCTCTCTCTCTCTCCCTCTCTCCTCTCTTTCTACTTGCAGGTAAGTAAATGTAGATTACTTTTTGAGGCTGGCGAGTCCACAAAGCAAACCAATAGACCCCCCGCCTGACCATCAGATGCTGGCCCGTGTGTTTAAGTCCAAGTGAGTTGAAGCATAAAATACAAATGCCAAAATCTATTAATGTGCTTGGCCAGCATTGGAAATTGTGGAGGGGGGGGGGGGGGGGGGGGTGGAGTTGTGCCTTGTAAAGTCACATGCGTTGGGTGGGAGTCGTTGGCTGGCTTGGTGGGTTGCGGTTTGGTTCTGCTTCTGCTTTGTGTGGCGTAGAGCTGTCATATATATGGAGTGCGCCAAGTAAATTACATCATCAACCCTCTCCCCCCCTACCTACACACTCACACATACGCACACACATTGATGTGTATAGCTGGCGTTGCGCCGTGTGGCATTACTAATGTATGAGTGCGCGCAGAGTGGCAGGATATTAACCGCAAACTGCATAGCACATGCCCGACATTCGCTGCAGCATGGTGGCGTTTCGGTGTGTGGATGGATGAGGGCGGGTGCTTGGGTAACTAAAGTTGCGAGCCACAGCCAACATTTGCTAATTGCTTCATTAAATGTTTGCTTAATTTCGTTCGAATTAGCTTCGTCCAACATTATGGCGGCTGTCGTTGTGCTCTCTGTTAAGTGCCAAGTGTGGAGTGTGAAGTACGCGTATGTGTGTGTGTGTGTGTGTTTGTGTGTGTGTGTTTATGTTGCTGGTGCAGGGGTGTTGGAGGGGTAGACTGGTGGTTAGCAACAGCAGCAATTTATGCTCTGCTTTTGCTTTACACACATGTGCGCCCACACACTACTGTTCCTGTTGTTGTTATTCGTGCGCGGAAATTGCGAAGCTACTTGGCTTGAAACGTTCGCGCTTCTGTTTAATGATTGCTGGCCAGCTCTAAGCAATTGCTGGCAACGGCAGGAAGTGAAAGTCTGTCTGTCTGTCTGTCTGTGTGTCGGCTCCAAGACGCTGACTCAGCTCTCGTCTGCCACCTGCACGTCCTGCGACCACTTTTTGCGCTGGCGCAGCTTTTGTTGTCGTCCTGCGAGCTTTTTTTTATGTCCATGCTTACCGGCCTATAGGTGGCGTCTCAGGCGCATAAATATATATGTATATGTATATATACATATATATATATATATGTATATATATACCTATGTGTGTGTTGAAATTGACTGTGTTGAGTTTCTTCTGCTTCTCGTGCTTTCTGAGAGCGCAAGACAGAGAGTGTTTGTTTAAGAGTCGGCATTAAGAGTGCGAATACCGTGTTGGCGGCATTTTGGGCGTCCTCTGCTGCATTTGTTTTGTTTGTTTGTTTGTTTGTTTGTTTGTTTGTTTGTTTGCCATCCAACTGCTTGGGCATTGTGTAAAAGAGGAAATGAAGGGATCTACGGTGCGTATGCTTAATTAATTAACAAATGAAGCTATAGAGCAGCGATCGATTCATTATTCGTTACTCTTATTTTTCCAACAAATCTTACAAGATTAATTTGTCCAAGATCTAAAATTAAAACTAAAACATTTATTATGACACCTTAATCTTCTTTTGGTTCATACTTTAAAATATATATTTTTGTGTTTCGATCTTTGATATGATGATTTGTGCAGCTCGTACAATTAAATTTTGAATGCGGTACATCGGTTTAATAGGAATGTAGCTCCTCATATGAATAACATTCCAGATGGTGTGCCTCGCAATATATATCGAAAATATGTTGGCTTTAGCAGTTAAGCGGGCTGCTGAAAGTTCTCATGTTCCAAAGCACATTCATTTCATGTTGTTATTGGTGTCCTCTCATCCAAACAACCCGAACAGTTTCAAAAAAGAAATATCCTACGGCTTTTGCAAATGAAATGCCTTCTGATCCTCCTGGTCCATTGATCCACTTTGTTGGCTATTTAAGCATTTCAAAGTAGTTGCCTCCTAAATTAGACTTCGTGTCTTCAGTCGATGGGCTTGACAATTTTATTTAAACAAACATTTGTAGCGAGGAGAGCGAGGGAGATTGAGATTGGCGTATGCTTGAAAAAGTGTATTGAAATGTTCCAATCGTAAGGTGGCAATGGCTTGAAGAAGTACACATTATTCATAATAAAATAAAAATTTTTAAAAAGATTGAATACTTACATCAGCAGGAAGAATAAAATAAATGGCGCTGTAGAGGAATTTTATAAAAGACACTGAACTGCCACAAAAATAGTCAGAAAATCCTCAATGCGCCATTTTGATAATCATTCGATGTCTTGGTTGCGAATGTTGAATGAATATAGTTAATAATAATTATTGTATAGATATATTTGGATATCAAATTTGTCGCCATTGCAGTGATTTGAGAAAGAATCAGTTTTGAGCTGAAACTAACTGAAATGTATTCCAAATATTAGGCATGAAGATCGCTTACCTCAGCTGAGACTTAATTAGTAGTAGTAGTATTTTGTAAGATTCAAACGTGCAATTCGTAACGAAAACTTTTAATAATTTGGTAACTTGTTTAAAGCTGAAGGATAGCTTTTGAAACTGGCTCGGGTTAATGGGCAGGGTTGTTCAAAATATTGTGAATATAGTTGAAAAGGATTGGGATTTTTGTCTCCCAAAGTTGTTCCGATGTATCGAGATTAATATTATTCCAAAATTGCAATTAAACATTTTTGTGAGTGCATCAAAAAGTTGACATAAAGCACCTGTAGGAAATATATTGTAAATGGGACACAAAAAAAATTTAGAAGTTGCTTACCTTTTAGACGCTCTGAGAGTCTTCTTAATTCAAAATAAGACTACATATGAATTAAAAATAACAAAGATTGAAGGAAACACATATTAATTGAATGATTGACTATAGTTTACCTTAGCAGCGCCTTAAGGCAAGATAAATTAATAAATTGCAGGATTATCTAAAGTTGTTCAGCATAGTCAACTATTGGACCGATTTTCTAAGTCATAGACATCGCGATTTAGAAAGGATTCTACTATTATGTCATTAACTCAAATACTTAGATCAATAGAAAACGGAAATGATTCGCTGCAGAGGTTGGCTATAAAGATGTAATTGTATATCGATCATAAATTTATTAAAAGACTGAATATCGCTTACCTCAACTCCCTCCAAGGTTTCAACATAACGAACAGTTTCGACTATTTTGTAACTTATAAAGGGTTAAAGGACGGCTACTAGATATGGTTCGATATTGCTTTGGATGTTAAAAATGTTTTGGGCTATTGAAATGAGTTTTTTAAAATTGTCGAAGATTTGTAATTGCGATCGCGATTGTGATTGTATTACTATTTGCACTCGGGATAATTTTTGTGACATTTCGGCTAAAAAGAGAGAGAAGTATAGAATTGGTAATAAATCACGTTTTCAGACGAGCAAAAGTTAATTAAAACAAATCTAATTCGCGATTGACAATAAAACAAACAAACAATAACTAGTTGCAAGCATTGGTTGTGAAGACCGAATCGCACATTAGGCAGAGAATGTTACGATGTTTGAAAACTGCTTACCTTGACTTGGCCTTAAGGAGTGGTTTTGGATATCGAATCAGATTGATCCGAATGATCCGATTGCTCCTGCACAAATGCTGTAGGGCTATCACCGTCACCGTTGCCGTTGCCCGTACTCTTGACCTGGTCGTCGATACAGAGGTAGCTCCTTATTGCGTCAATAGCCACGTCTGGGGTATCGAGCCAATCCTTCCTGGTGGCAAAGTATTTTACCTTGTTTATCTTTCGATTAAGATCTTCTTTCGATGCTCTGAGTGCCGACAACTCGCGCTGCATATCAGACTTTGGCTTATCGTCACCACAAGCAGATGGATCTGAGCTTTCCACGGCTTTTTGCTTCGGTTTTGGGATGCGCTTGGGTAAATTCCGGTTAGGAGTGCTTTGGATGTTGCCTCGTACACCCGATTCGTAGCGGCTTCCTGTAGAGGTATTGCTCGTTAGGCTCTGGGTGGAGCTGCCGAGACGTGTAGTCTTCCGAAGAGCGTTGTTATACCCGCGACAAAAGCCAATCGGTTGATTTTTTCTAGCCGCCAGTGCATCATATGGAGCGCCAGTATCGTGTTTTTGGTAAAGGTCGCGAAGCCAGCTTAAAAGGCGATAGTGTCGCTGACCTCGAATTAACTCCCTTATTTCTAGAGGATAGCTCAGATTTAATGTCTTAAAGACATTCTTCAAGAGCATGAAGTTCGAATCAACCTCGTACTGATAATTCGCAATAAATCGCACTTTACTAATCGGAACTTCCTTCGGAAATATGCTATGCAAAATTTGGATGTATGCTGCCCCTGTGTTGAACTCATCGAGCGATTCGAACTCCGACTGTAATATATGGTTTGCCCAGCTCAAAAGCTGCCTAATTGGAATTTTAGCCATGGGAGCTTGAAACAAAAAGTTACTAAAAAAATATTTAAAATTATTTTACTTGTTTCTCAGACTGTCTGAACTGTGTAGGTGCACGTAGTAGATTGAATTTTAAAAGCAAACCCACAGCTACCAGCAAAGTCAACGCCTACTAGAATACGAATACGAATCAAGCATAATACTTTAGAACAACACTTTAATTCCTGACTGAAGGCAGCGTACAACGCCCAAAAAAAAAGGGAATAGGTCGATAAGAACAATCCTGAGACAGAGCAGCCCTGAGTCTAATCGGTGCAGTTTCTTTCTAATTCTTCACGACGGACAAACGAACATAACAGTTTTAATTATACATACTAACATTTTTCTGGAAAGATAAGTAAATATTCTAGCTTGCGTTCAGAGGTTTCCTATCCACTAATCAAATATTTTTTTTAAATAATATGGAATGTGGCTTAATTAAAAATATTCGCTTAAAAATAATAAAAGAAACAAAACTGCTATTATGGCAATGATTTATCGATTCTTGTTAACGAAGTTTGATATTGCAGTGCCTTTTTCATCAACTTTAAATCACAATTTAAAATGTTTTTTAAATCCATGAACAAAACATGTTTATGCTCTGTACATGAAATGTAATTCAAAATGCATTTTGTTCATTTTATCAGTTCATGGTTGATTTTGCAGTTAGGCTTTGCAAAGGCTTTTTTCGCAACATACAAATGTTTAGCCATTAACAAATTCCAATATATACAAGTATTTTGTATTATTATTACAATGAATCGGCCTGCAAATTTGTGTAATATATATTAAATTTAAGTATTAGCCCTAGTAGTCCTACAAGCGACTCAATTACTTCAAAATTATCGTTCGTTTTTCTTAAATTAAAAAACAAATTTTGTTTAAGCCTTCACGGCAGTTAATGATTAACAGGAGAAAGGCACATACGGACACTAAAGTATAAATTATCTAATGTGTAATATAAATTTAATTTAAATGGTAATCATAATTCAAGTGAGAAGATTATCTCAAGAATTCGCCTCAATATTTCAAAAACAAGTTCGGCAGCAGCAGCAGCAGCAGCAGCAGCGATGCATGTTGACCCCAACAGCACTGGCTAGCCACTGAACTTACCTGTTCGGAGCTTTGGGCTCCCTTTGGCACTTTCTCACCACAGAAGTGCGTGGGATAAAGAGCGTGAACGTCATCGTTTGTTGTGTGCTGTGCTCTTAAAAATGTGAGTCAGCGTCGGCTTTGGCGGCGGCGTCACCAGCGTGAATACCGTGTGCCACGTTTTTGACTTCTGAAGCAGCCGCTGTGGTGCGTGCGCGCGCACACACACATACACAGTAACACACACACAGACACACACACACACCAGCAGTGATGCTGCCATTGCTGGTAACAGTTTGCTCCATTGACGAAACGAAAAACAAAGTTGACGCTGTTTGTATGCCAGCGTGTCCGTGTGCTTGTGTTCATGTGTGTGTGTGTGTCTGTGTGTGTTCGTGTATTCGCCCGTATTCGTATTCGTTTGTGTTCGTGTGCACTTATCTTCATGGGATAAATCTCGCACTGGCCCAGTCTGTTTTGTATACGGGCGTCAAGCGGTCGTGCACGGGCTAACGGCAAATACGGCATCTATATAGTACGGCAAAACGGTACAACAAGACGAAGAAGAAGAAGTGGTAGAAGAAGAACAAGCAGCAGCAATAGACCACAACACACAAACAAACGTTAAGCCAAAAGACCAAGAGTCTTTATCGGCAAAAACCCAAAAAATCCAAAGAAAAAAATCTCAAAAAATAAAACTCAAACGAAACTTTTAAAAAAAACTTAATGTGAAATGTTGTATCTCATTACCGACCGCGAACTTTTGAGCGTGCGTACGTGTCTCGCGTTACAGTTATTTTGATGCGGCTGCCGCCAAGAGGAAGAACAATAACAACAATAACAACACTAACAATAATAACAGTACTAACAACAACCACAACAACATCAACAAGAAGAAGCAGTCGGTAAAAGTTGCTGCGAGAAAAGTTCGAAGACGTATGCAAAACGTAGCGGCACGTAAAACGCGCGCAAAAAAGTGTGCTACAAATTTTTTTTGTGATTTTTTTACCCTCTTGTCTTGCCAGCAAGACAACATCAAATAGTTTGTTTGTTTGTGTCCATGTAGTACATGTATGTGTGTGTGTGTGCTTTTTTTTATTGTGCTCATGTGTGTTTGTGTTGTGTTGGGAGCGCAAACGAGAAATGAATAAAAAAAAAATAAGAGAAAAGGAATAACAACAGCAACAACAAAATTGTTTTGAAAAGGCGAAGTCCAAGTCTGTGGTAAATTAAATCAAATCGCTGTCGGTTTTTTATGTTTATTCTGTTACTTTCCATTTTTTTGTTGTTGTTCATGGACCCACTGAGTAGTTGCGATAACAACAGAAATAACAAGTAGAGCAAGACATACTAACTATATTCGTATAAATAAATATAAAAAAATAATAACAGCTAGCTGTGTCTAAGTGTGTGTGCGTGTGTGTGCATGTATATGTGAGTGTGTGTGTGTGTGTCCATGTATGGATGTGTAAAATAACATAAACAAGTAAGCGAATGAACAAACAAACAAACAAGTCTGCGATGTGTCAATAAAAGCGAATAAAAAGTCTAAAAAAAAACAGAAAATACAACAACAAAAAATAGAACAATCAAAAATAAAACATCGGAAAAAATACGCCCAGAAGCTAAATACAACAGCGAAATTCACAATTTTGTGTGCACGTCCGTTTGCTTCTCTCTCTGTCTGTATGTCTGTCTGTCTACGATTAAATAAATAAGCAGCGGCAACTGTGATGGCAATGGCAACCGCGACGGCGACGGCAACGGCAATGGCAGGGGAACAATTACAATAAAAAGAAGCAAACAGCAGTAGCAAGAAAAAACAACAGCAACAACAACAACAACATTCGCAAGGGCACACACACACTCAAAATTTGTGTGCAAAAAATCAGTCAACGTCGCTGTCATTATCAGCGCAGCATCAGTGTCATCATCATTACCAAAATCATTGTCTCCGTCATTGTCAAGCGACCTTCCTAACATCATCATCATAATCACCATCATCACCAACAGAATCACCATCTTCATCATCATCTTTAGCATCGACGTTGGCATTGGCAACCCAGCTATACCCCCCTTTTCTTGCTGCACTCCACTCCACTCCACTCCACACCACTTTGCTTCTCATCATATCGATACCAAAAATCAAGCAACTTTTTCTTTCATTTTCGCCACTTGCGCCCTTTCTTGCTATTGTTGGTGTTGTTGCTGTTATTGTTCTTGTTGTTGTTGTTGTTGCCGTCGCTCCTTGCGCTTTGATTTGCCACAACTTTTTCTGCTTCATCTTGCTCCCCTTTTTGTCGATTTTCATATGTAAATTGTTAATCAAATAATGATATGCAAAAATTGGTCGCAGTTTCTTTTTCGCCTTTTTCTTGTTTTCGTTGCTTTCGTTATTGCTATTGTTGTTGTTGTTGCTTTTGCTGTTGGACGTGCCTAAAATGGGTTTCCAATTGCTATTTTGTTGGCATTGGCCTGCCCAGCCAATATTATGTATACGCAGGGTCTTCTACTCAATTGAAGCATAATTCACCATATTGCGCATACGCCCCGTGAACTTGATTCAAATAGTTATTGAATTGCCCGATATGCATACTTAAAATTTACATATCTTCTCAAACTTTCTAAGCTCTTTAAGTTCCTTTTTTTAAAGCTCAAAAAGCAGTCTGTATTCGAATTTGGAAATTTTGGTTTCCATCAATAATTTATGCACTATTTGGTTTTCTTTCTAATCAGTCTTAAAAGTGCCACAACAAGTATATATTTATTTGTTTCAAAATTTATTCTAGTTTCACATTTTTTTAACAAATATTAGAAAAGTTAGGTTAATCTGACAATTTTCTGCACATTCGTTTTATATCCGTAGTGATAAAATCGCCCAAAAATTATGTTTAAAAAAAATCCTTAAACATAGCAGGGAAAAACTAAAACACACTATGCAAAATGTGGGCCTAAATCTATTAATCTATTGAAGTGCAATCAGTCTTAGAATTGTGAAAGGCAATAATTGTTATTTATTTACAATATTACGCATACGTTACACATAAACAATTTTTTCGTTTTGAGCAAAAATTGTTTGAGCTTGTAGAGATAGCAGCAGTACAGATTTGGGCTAAAAAAACATGCTTAAAAAATATATTTAGACAAAATTTAAACTTGAATTTTATATTTGTTCAAAAAAATAAAACTTAAAAAATTATTATTAATTTAGTTTTTTTTTTTGCTTAAAAATAAAGATTATTGGTTGAGTTGTAAAATATAACTCAAAATTAATAATTATATTTTTTAATTTGTATAATACTACTTATAATGGGTTCAGTCTCTGGATTAAACATAGCGTTAATAGCTTGATATTATTTTTCATCTCTTGAGGCATAAAAATGCAAAACTGTTACAACTTCAATTCAACACCACATGATTTTAATAGAATTAGTGAAGCAACTTGTTTATTTATTAAATTGTTTGGTTTCTCCTTTTATTTATATTTATATTATATTTTGTGTATGACTTTTTGTGGTTTGCAATATTACGTATACGTCGAGTACATAAGTTTTGCTCTTATTGCAGCTTTTTTTGACACATTTCTGTTCATCATTGCCGCAGCTAAATAAATTGTTTGTTGTTGTTGCTGTTGTTTTTGCCATAGCTGCTGACATCGCTGTCAGTGCTGGTCCTTATTACTTAGCATGCTAATTGACATTTTGCCACTTGAAGTGTGTTTTCTCTCCTTTTTAATGTAAGCATCTTTTGAAGTAGCCGCACAAGGTCACAAAAGGTTAGGCAACACTTTTAAGTGTGTGTGTGTGTGTGTGTGTGAAAAAGACACGTGCACACACACACACACTCACACACATGTGCTAGAAAAGTGCAACTTAGTTAAGCGTTGGCTTTCAATTTCAAATATTCAATGCACAATTGCAATTAGAGAGGCGTGTCAGCCTAGAAAAACTGTCCACAACATG